GCTCCCTTTGAGCGTGGGCAGGACTTCTGACCTGCTTCTGGCCAACAGAACACGGCAAAGGGAACAGGATGTCACTCTGTGACTATAGTGCATTATGTAAGACTGTCTGGTGAGCCGACCCTCCTTGCTGGGTGGCTGAAGTAAGCGGCCATGTTGGGAAAGCCCCTGTGGAGAGGAACTGCAGGCGGCCTCTGAGAACTTCAGGCAGCCTTTGGGAGCTGAGAGCAGTCTACAGCCAACAGTCAGCAAAAGGGCAAGACCCTCGGTTCTACAACCACATGGACACGAATCCTGCCCACAACCTGAGGGAGCCTGGAAGCGGGCTCTTCCCCAGCTGAGCCTCCAGACGAGAATCCCACCCAGCCGACACCCTGACTGCACCTTATACCCCAAATAATACTCTTTGCACTCCCCAATACCACAGCAGAAACTGCTTTGAGGATATCTTGCCTTGTAGAAGTTCACCTGAGACCCTGAGAAGAGGATCCAGCCCAGTCGTTCCAGTCTTGCCCACAGAAACTGTGAGATAAAAAACGTGTGCTGTTTTAAGCCGCTAAGCTTTTGTTACACGGCAGTAGGTAACTAATGACGTTGTTGTCGTCGAGTTGATCTCAACTCATCGTGACCCCATGTGACATAGTAGAAGTGCCCTGTAGGGTTTTCTAGGCTATAATCTTTATGGGAGCAGACTGCCAGGTCTTTCTCCCATGGTGCCACTGCGTGGGTTCAAAATGCCAACCTTTCCATTAGCAGCTGAGCACTTAACCAATGTGCCTCCAGAGCTCCTGAGATAACCAATACATGGTCCAAGTGGACATCTGAGAAACTAAGTGAGTTTGCACTCATTCTTTAAATCCTCAAGTAGCTAAAAATCAGAATCCCAGCATTTCTTTAACTCTCTTGGCCCCAATGGTGGCATTAGCCCTTGCTTCACCTGAAACTATTTTTTCTTGATCGAAGCTGAAGGATTTGAAAAAAACTGTCCTCCTTCTGGAAAAAGGGTGTACTATTAAGTGGCTGCTATTTCATTTTTTTTAAATGTATTTATTTACTCTGTGCTGCTGATCTAGGAGTTAAAGGAGCTACATAAATGAGCAACACATGATTCCTGCCCCAAAGTGCTCACAGTCAGAAAGAAAGAATAAAGTAACCACATTACAGGCAAACACCCACTCAACAAGTATTTATTTTACATCTACTGTGCCCCCCATCCCAAGTGCTTGGCCGCTAATCAAAAGCTTAGAGGTTCAAGTCCACCCAGGGGTACCTCAGAAGAAAGGCCTGGCGATCTACTCCCGAAAAATCAGCCACTGAAAACCCAAAGGAGCACAGTTCTACTCTGATGTGCCCAGGGTCACCATGAGTCAGGGTGGGCTGAACGGCAACTGGTTCTGGTTGTTATGCTCCTCCCGCCAGGTGCTCTAAGGAGCTCTGGTAGTGCAGTGGTTAAAGCGCTCAGCTGCGAACCAAAAGGTCGGCGGTTCAAACCTACCAGCCACCCTGCAAGGGAAAGGCGTGGCAGTCTGCTTCCATAAAGATTACAGCCTTGGGAACCCGATGGGGCAGTTCTACTCTGTCCTATAGGGTAGCTATGAGTCGGAACCGACTCAACGGCAACGGCTTTGGTTGGGTTTGGTCAGGTGCTAAGGAAACAGCAGGGAGAGAACAGACAAAGCTCCCTCCCCTCATGGGGGGAGGAGAGAATGTGATAAACCAGAGAACGTAAATGAGCGTGGCAGAGACCACAGGCCTCCAGTAGATGCACCATCTGTTTTTATGTCTGAGCTGTGTCTCTTCACATGAGCAGAGGTGACGCCGTGGTGGTGCTTAGCAGGCTGTGAATTCTCCTGACTCCAGCAAGGCACAGCTCCTTGCCCGAGGGTCTCAGAGCCACGCAGGAGCTTCCTTGTGCGCTGCCCGACCCCGAGGACCGGTACAGTCTGATTGAGGCTTTCTGCTCAGATGTCATCACTCACCACCACGGGCCCAGGGCTAGGTAATAAAGGAAGAGGTTCTAAAATAGTCTATTAAGACAGCAGAAACACATCTGACCGAGGCGGCAAGAGCAGAGTCCACTATGAACTCCCTCTCGTGGAAGCAGATTACCAAAGAAGCACCTCTAAGGGGAAGAGGAAAGAAGATATCCAAGGCTCACCGTGTCCACACACAATGGCTCAGGCGCGATGCAGTGTCCTCCCGCCCCGGCTGGCGGCTGGCGAGGATCCAGTTTTACCGACGGTCTTCAGGGAAGTGCACCTGCTAACGCTGCACCTTTGCTTCTGACACTTACAAGGTTGCAGCAGCCTCATAAACACGGCGCTGACTGATCACCACTGTCCTTGCTGGGAACTAGAGGCTTGAGGGAACACTTCCTCCTTCCGCCTTCATTCTTACTCCACGGCAGCCTGCTCAGAGCTGCACTCACATGGCCAAGGCCACAGGCTCCATCCCCCACCACGTCTTCTGATTAAGGACTTGGCATAGGCTGCTCATCCTGAGTAGGCATGCATTCTTGATGCGGCCATCAACTCAGAATTATGAGTACCAACGGCCCCAAGATGACATAAGAACGTGAGTAGGGGGAGTCAGGTGGAGTTCTTTATACACACACACAACTGAGCACACTTTACCTTGACTTTTGTGAGGAAAAAAATGGTGATGATAACCACAGAGTATCCATTCAGTAAGCCTTTATAATCTGATTTCAAAAATAATCAGAGCAATAGTTTTCAAATATTTTAATAGTAAAACGCTTTTTCCAAACTCCATTTTACATGGAATCCACTAGAAGAACCAGCTAAAACTGAACTGTCTGGGTGGTGCAGACAATGAACACACTCAGTTGCTACCTGAAAGGTTGGAGGTTCGAGTCCACCGAGAGGTGCCTCGGAAGAAAGGCCTGGCGATCTGCTTCCAAAAAAATCAGCCGTTGAAAATCCTATGGAGAACAGTTCTATTTTGATACACATGGGGGCACCATGAGTTGGAATCAACTCCATGAGAAATGGTAGTGGTAACCCTTATTTAAAGAGGGATAGGGCCAGAGAGCCTCACTGGCTGGCCTCTACCTCTCCCTCCCTGCCTGGCTCCTCCGTCCCCCTCTGTCCCTTCCTCAGAACTCCAGGACTCCCAGGGAACAGCGTGAAATACACTGACCTACTGCAGACTAGTCTAACACCTACACCCAAGAACAAGTTAGCATGGAATTCTTTTTTTAAAAAAGGGTGAGAGGAACAGGAGCAAGATGAAAAGTTCTCCGGCCGGAAGGAAAGTGGAACCAGCCCCCCGCATCTAAGAAATGCAGAGGCTCCCCTTATCTACCCAGAGACTCGAAGAACTAGATGGTGTCCGGCGCCCACTACCGACCATTCTGATCAGGGCCACAATAGGCGGATCCTGACAGAATGGGAGAAAAACGTGGAACAGATTTCAAATTCTTAAAAAGTCCAGACTTACTGGATCCACTGAGACTAGAGGACTCCTTGAGGCTATTACCCGGAGATACTCTTTAAACCCTGAAATGAAACTATCCCTTGAGATTACCTTTAGCAAAATAATAGAGTGGCACACCAAATAAAGGATATTACCCATCGGTACAGTGCTTCATTTAAAAAATCGTCTACTAAAAAAAAAAATCTATATGACACCAAAGGTCAACATTTACTCTAAAGCAAAGATGAGAAGGTTAGGGTGGCAGGGAAACTAGAGTACTGGAAACAGAACAACCAGAATGCAATCTGAGAGAATGTTGACACATTGTAAAAAATGTAATATCACTGCACAATTTGTGCAGAAATTGTCCAACAGGAACCTAATTTACTGTGTAAGCTTTCACCAAAAACACAATAAAATATTATTAAAAAAAGCAAAGGCTCCAGGAGTAAAATCAGAAATGCAGCCAGAGGCCATCATTGCTGCTGCATCTGAGGCTACTAGGAGGCAAGCGAGTGGCCACTGCACATGCACAGGTGCTTTTACCTGCTGCAGGCTGCACACCACCCAGGTGTATGCCTGGGAACGGGGGCTGGAGGGGCTGAGGCAGACCCTTTCTCCATAGCACGCCACCACAACCAGGCCTCTGCACACAAGGCCTCACAACCTGCAGAGACCTGTTCAGAAGGAAATGCAGTCATGTAAGAAACAGTCACGTGAAAAGTCAAACCTGCCTCTCTCTGCCTGGAGCAACAGAGGAAGAGAGTCAGGAATTGGAGGAGGAAATGGAATGTGTAGCTAACCGCCTCTATGAACAACTGCCTCCTTTGCCACGAGACCAGAAGAACTGGATGGTACCCAGCTGCCATTACTGAATGTTTTGATCAATGATTCTATAGAAGAATCCTGATCAAAAGGGGGAAAACACAGAACAGAATTTCAAATTTTCATGGATTCCAGACTTTCTGGAGCAATGGACGCTGGATAAATCTCTAAAACTCTTGCCCCGAGACAATCTTTTAAATCTTAAACCAAACTATCCCCTGAAGTCTTCTTAAAACTAAACAATAGTTTAGCTTAAGTAGTAAAAAAACATCTGTCTTGAGCATTATGCTCTATCTATGCAGGATCACACTGACAACAGCAACTCAAAAAATTCGATATGAACCTCAGGGGGCAGTGAGTTTATGTTAATGGGGGAAGAACAACTCAGAAAAGGAGGGTGAGAATGGTTGCACGACTTGAAGAATGTAATCAATGTTAGTGAATTGTACATGTAGAAATTGCTGAATTGGTGTATGTTTTGCCGTGTATATGCTCGACAACAACAAAATTGAAAAAAAGGCAAATCTGCCTTCAGGTGAGTCAATGAGGTAGAAAGGAGCTCACGGATGAGACGCAGAAAACACAGCAATTACAATGTTTTTCTTAAGGAGAAGACTAAGGTTTTTAGCTGTCAATGAACTTAAAAAGTGGACTTAAAAAGTCAACCCCATTAACCGCCGATGCCTGAAGGTCTAAATAAATAACATGCTCTTTAGGGTGTGGTGTTGCTGGGCGGACTGTACCTGGGCTGTGAGGTGAGGACTCAAAGCTTCGTCACCTGAGGATCACCTGGGTCTTAAGGCAAAGACGTGTCAGGAGAGGTAAGCCGGTGGCTTCAGGCTCCTGGAAGGCAAGGAAGAGATGTTAGACATGGCCTCTTTTGGCTCCAGAACCGCAAAGACTGTGGCTGTTACAAGAAGGAATGACTTCCAGTCACTTCAGCATCAGAAAGAACATCCAAACTGTGACACCAACTAAAGACGCAACAAGCCTCACCCAGAGGTAAAAAGGTCCTACCCTGGGACCGATGAGACCAGAGGCTGACTCAGGTAGGAGGTGGGGGACTGGACTAGCTGGCTGACCTCCAAACCAGAGGTTCTGCGACTCCCATCTCTACAAATGGACTGTCAAATTTCAAATCAGGATGATGTGAGAGTCACTAGGCTACTTCAAAGGAGCCCTGATGGTACAGTGGTTAAGCGCTAATCAAAAGGTCAGCGGTTTGAACCTACCAGTCACCCTGTGGGAGAAAGATGTGGCAGTCTGCTTCTGTAAAGATTACAGCCTTGGAAACCCTATGGGGTAGTTCTACTCTGTCCTATAGGGTCGCTATGAGTAGGAATCGACTCTACAGCAATGGGTTTTGTGTTTGGTTTGGAGGCTACTTCCACACATGTGGGGTACAAAGGTGGACATGCAGATGCTCTGAGGCCCCTGTTAGGGGACACACAGGAGAGTGAATCCTGACACAGGTATTGAGAGTTGAGGGAAGCCTGGGCATAAAACCCTGTTAGGAAGCAGCTGACTCTCATGGGTACAGTCTGCCATTTTGCAATACAGGTCTCCTGGACTAGCTGACAGACAAGTGCTGAGTGGGCACCAGCACAGTCTGACCGCTTCAAGATGAACCACAGATTGTTCTAGAAACAGGTCCTGTGTTCTTGCACCACCGTGCCTGGTGGAGTGGCCCACAGTCCCAGAAGGAATGAAATCAATCCTCGCCAGTGACAGCAGTTGTCACTGTCTGGGTGCAGCTGACAGCATCACTTTCCTGTGAGGGTACGCTAGGAAGAACCTCTTAGATTACGCACATATGAAGTTCTTTATCCTCTAAATCTTCCCGTTTATACTCTGCATATGTTCATGCACTTGCCCAGGAGTTGGAAAGGTTTAATTAAGCTTGCTGAACATGACGCCCACCTAATGTGAACCCAGAGAGGGTTATCGTTATGCCAAACACGCGTATAAAGATGCTAATCAACAGTGAAGAGCTTTATAACTTAAACAGCAGCTAGCTATGTTTCTAACAATTGGAACCCTACTCCACCCCAACCAAAACCTTTGGTCCATTCAATTCATGTACTGATATTTCATTATTTTCCACTTCCTATTTTGAAAATACCCAAGCCTACAGAAAAGCTGAAAAAAATATTTCCATACTCTTCCTCTATGTTTACCAATGATTAACATTTTCTTTATCTTTCTTCAAAGTATATACTTTGCTCATGAACATCTGACACCATGACACTTGACCCTAAATACCTGAGCAAGTATCTCCTAAGAATGGCACTTCCCTACATAACTGGAGGATCATTATCACAGCAAAGAAACCTAACATTAACTCAGTGTCATCTAAAACACAGACCAGAATCAAATTTCCCCAATTGTCAACATATTGCTCTTTCTTGATGATTTCCTGATCATGTGCCAAATGTCATAAGGGCTTTGAGAAAAACCAAGACAAAGATGAGACAGGCACTTAGAGGCCCTACAGTGAGACAGAAGGAGCCCTGGTAGCAGTGGTTAAGCATTCAGCTGCTAACCGAAAGTTTGGTGATGCGAACCCAACCAGCGGCTCCATGAGAGAAAGACCTGGTGATCCCCAGTAACGATTACAGCCTAGAAAACCCTAAGAGGCAGTTCTACTCCATCACATGGGGTCACTATGAGTCAGAAGCGACTTGACGGCTCCTAACAACACAGTGAGATGGACTGAGACAGTGGCTAAAACAACAAACAGACGCAAACATGGGGATGGCACAAGACTAGGCAAGGTTTCATTCTGGTGTACATGACGCCACCATGAGTCGGAGCCGACTCAACAACAACAGTGAGATAAACACAAAAGCAATGGTTCATATGCAAGGCTCTGTCTCGGTGGAAGAGAAGGCAGTTGGCGCTGTGTGGAGACTTCAGATAAGGCTTTGGACCAAGGCGACGTTGAGAGGACCAGTTTACTAAATATATATGCGGAGAGGGAAGGAAGTGCTCCAGAGGATCGGAACAGGATGTACAAATGTGGAAGCTTGAAACAAGGCTGCGATGGAAACTCGCAACGTGCTGCAGGCCGAGGGTTGACATCATCAGAGCCCTTGTCATCAAGAAAATGTCACTTTATCCCTGGGGGCCACTGTGGGCAGGGGTGGTAACAGAAGAGGTAATTAGCCAAGGGTCACAATCAGATTTATATTTTAGGAAGGTAAGTCTGGATTAAGGAGCCCCGGTGGCGTAATGGATAAGTGCACAGCTGCTAACCGAAAGGTCAGCAGTTCGAACTCACCAGTGGCTCCACGGAAGAAAGATGTGGCAATTTGGTCTTGCAAAGATTACAGCCTAGGAAACCCTATGTGGCAGTTCTACTCTGTCACATGGGGTCGCTATGAGTCGGAATCGACTTGACAGCACACAACAACTCTGGAATAAAAGGGCCAGAATCCAGAAGGAATTACCTGTTGCCAAAGATAAAATTTGAGCTTTCAAGCAAAAATTAGTCATTTGGGGAAACTTTTCTCTGTCGCCGAGATCTTGACCGCTTCCCAATACTTAAAGAGCTTTCTGATCGTATTGCTGGTGATATTAACAAATACGATTTTTTCAATATGGTATCATGCAATGTGTCAACATTTGGACAATCTATGCAATTCAGCAAAACAATAATTCAGTAAAACAGAATCACTCATGGATGAAAGATTAATTCAAAGTGCAAGATGGTATGGTGGTGCTGTAGTCAACTCCGATTCACAGCAATCCCATGTGACAGAGTAGAACTGCCCTATAGGGTTTCCCAAGCTGTAATCTTTATGAGAGCAGATCGCCAGGTCCTTCTCCTGTGGAGCCGCTGGGTGGGTTCAAGGTGCCAACCTTTCAGTTAGCAGCTGAATGCTTAACCACTGTGCCACCAGAGCTCTTTAAAGTGCAAGACAGACTAATAAATTCTGGAGTTCAAAGAGTTCACTGATATCTTTCAGATTCCACAGTTGAACCAACCATCACCTGTCGAGTTTTGGTGTAGGATCAAAAAAGAATGTCCACAATTACCTGAAAAGGGTGCGAAAATATTCCTTTTTTCCAAACTACATACCTGTGAGGACATTTTTTTTTTATATACTTCAACCAAACAGAGGTAATACAGAAGCAGATATGAGAATCTAGTTGCCTTTCTGTAAGCTGAACATTAAAGAGATTTGTACATATGTAAAACAATGACACTCCTTCTCATTAAATTTTTTTGTTTAGTTAAAGATATTTTTCATAAAAATGTTACTTTGACTGACATGTTGTTATTGTTAGCTGCCACTGAATCAGCTCTGACTCATGGCAACCACATGTACAACAGGCCAAAGCGTGGCCCAGTCGCGCGCCATCTTCATGTTTGAGTTCAATGTTGCAGCTATTGCAGTGCCTTCCAACCTAGAAGGCTCATCTTCCAGCACTATACTGGACACTATTCTGTTGTGATCCGTGAGGTTTTCACTGGAATCATTATCCAAAGTAGACCGTCAGGTCTTTCCTCCTAGTCTATCTTAGCCTGGAAGCTCCACTGAAATATGTTCACCATGGGTGACCGTGACGGTATTTGCAATACATGTGGCACAGCTTCCAGCATCACAACAACACGCAAGCCACCGGAGCATGACAAACTAACAGACAGGTGGCAGGAAGTTAACATAATATGGGTTTATTGTTGTTATTTTAAAAAGAATTAATCCATAAACATTTTAAGTTGTTCTCAATTTTAATTTCTAATATGATACATAACCCACATAAGCAAAAGTCCTTTGGAGTCGTCATAATTTTTAAGAGAGTAAAGGGGTTCTGAGACCAAACAGTTTGAGAACCACTGCTTAAGGGCTGCCTAATCAAATGAACAAAACCAAGCTTAATAATATGCTCAACATCCGGAAAACCACTACCCTGCTTCCTTAAGGCATGAATTAATAAGCAGCCTGTCAGAGTAATTCTTGCTCCCGTCATACTTGTCTGTCATGGTACAAAAGCAGTGAATGCTAAGCTTGAAGGTCCTAAAGAAAAGTATGCCATACATTAATCCAGGATGAACTCATCAGCATTAATGGGATTGGAATGCATGGCAAATAAATTAATTAGTACTGCTTTTCTTTAATCCAAGCGTGTTCCAACTGACTTACTCTGATTTCTCAGATTTGAAAATTCATTTGTTAAAGGCGGAGTCGTGAAAATGCTCCACCCCCTAGCTAAAGAATCCAATTTCATTTATTTCATACATATAACAAACAGCATTCCAAAACCCCCTTTCCCAGGCTTCCAGGAGCTGCGAAAGCATAACTGCAACAGTGTGTAAGCCTGCTCTTGTAGGGGACACGGTTTCAAACGGAGAGAAAACGTGTACATAAAAGAAGCTGGCAACACCAGCAAACATATTCCCCTGAGCAATTTATAAATCAAAAGGAGTCAGATATTTCTATTAAATATACTGGTAATCATAACCAGTTGCACATTGAGTTGACTCCAACTCATGGCAACCCCAAGGGTGCTGGAGCAGAACTGTGCTCCATAGGGTTTTCAGTGACTGATTTTTTGGAAGTAGATAGATCACCAGGCCTTTCTTTTGAGGCTTCTCTCAGTGGACTTGAACCTTCAACCTTCTGGTTAGCAGCCAAGTGTGTTAACCATTTGCACCACCTAGGGACTCCTTAATGTTTTTTAATTTATTTTATTAAACATAATGTCCAACTGTTTGGCAACTTACATAGCTTCTTTGTCTATGAATGAGTTTTGGCCTTATTCTTCACCCAACAAATATTTAGTGAATGTCAGATACAGTTCTAGACATGGTGGGGTGTGGCAGGCAGTGAACTAACCAC